GAATGGTAAACTATATATTGATTCCCATTTTTTGCGTGTGTGCAGCTGTCTGGAAATTGCCAGGTAGAAAGTTGGGGTGATTTTAGCGTTCAATTTGTTTTGCTTTATCTGGGATCACAGTTCTATATTGTCTGTTGCCCAATGTCTGAAAACAGGTGTTTCGTAAATTTTACTTACTATTCTAGTTTATAACGGAAGGACATCTAAGGTAGCAGTTACCTTTTCACGTATGAAAGTAAACGTCAATTAAATGACCTTTTTTCTTTCTTTTCAAAATTTACGTGATTTTGGATCCAACACAACTAATCCCTAATTTATTATGCTGAGTGATAAGAAACTGGTTTTCTCCATTTTCAAAAAACATCACCTGCTGGACATGGTGGTGCTTCCGTAGGCCCAGCTACTCAGGAGGCCATGTCAGGACGGTCACTTGAGGCCCGGAGTTCAAGGCTGCAGTGTGCAATGACTGTGCCTGTGAATAGTCACTGGACTTTGGCCTGGGCAACACAGTGAGACTCCATTTCAAAAACAAACAAACAAACAAACAAACATACAAAAAACCAAAAAGCATAATTTTTCAGAAAAGAGTGAACACTCTGATGTTGTAGAGTGTGACATGTTGGAAAAGATCCACGCAGGCAAGCTTAGGGTTAGACAAATGAGATAAGGAGAATGAGGTGGTAGGATAGCATAGACAAGACAAAAAATTGTGTCAACACTGAAAAATTGGTGCCTCTGTGAAGTTTTGTGATATAAATAGAAGACAGATGTTGATTTTACCTACCTTATGCTGGAATAATTACTTATACTATTTTAAATATTTTTAAAGTGTATAACTAAAGGTTAGATTATGTGAGCTATGGCTTAATAGCAACAACAGGGATTTATATATGTTTACATAAAACTTTGCAATAACAATTTTTCTTTAGGAATATCTTTTCTATGCAAAATGCCATAGATGATTCAAATATCCAAAGAAAACTAGCAATGCTCCTGGTTCCCCTCTTAGTGTGAATGGTAGGAAATATAATCTTGTTTTGTTCGACTGAATTTTTATCTAAACATTAGCAACACTAAGAGATCTCAAGATTGAGTAATCAGCACAAGGAAACCCCAACTAGCCGAGGTCATGATGCATATCAAGTGTGTCTTTCTGGTTGTCCAAGTCTAAAACTGGTTGTAGTTGCAGGTTAGGTTGGTCAGTAAAAGAAGATCTATTTCATTGTCTAGTATCTTAAAGGATAAGTATGGAAAGAGAGATCAGAGGGAGGTATAATTAAAGGTATAAATATGGGTCCCCTCTGTCACACTGTAAGATGAGACCCTCTCCATAATTACAGGACTCTTTGAGAGAAAGGAGATGAGAATGTTTAAGAAAAACTTCCCATTGATTTTTTTGGAAGCTCAGTGAACAGAAAACCGTGATTGTTTAAGTACAGTAAACTGAGTCCTTCCCAGTAAACTGAGTCCAAACAAAGTTAAAACAGGACTTCTTCTACACCCCCACCTCCCAGTAATGATTACCATCAGAAGGCACCTCTTTACCCAACTTAGACATCAGGGTTTCAAAGGGCTTCCATAAGTGAGTTTTACATTTGCTTTCTTTTATTCCAAAAACTGAGACTTTCATATTTGTAAGAAATCACCAATAACTACTAGAAACTAATAAGTAAGATTGGCAAAGTCAAAGGACACAAAATCAAAATACAAGTATCAATTGCATTTCTCTGTTTTAAAAATCAACAATTATAAAGTAAAATGAAAAAATAACATATAGAATAGCATCAAAATACATAAAACAGTGATAAATTTAATAAAAGATTTGTTAGAACTGCATGCTAAAAACTATAAAGCATTTATAAGAGAAAATGTAAAAGTCCTAAATAAATAGAATGATATAGCATGTGGATCAGAAGACTCAATATTAAACTGTGAATTCATCACATATTGATCTGTAGTTTCAATGCAATCCTCATCAAAATCCCAGGAGTCAATTATTGTAGGAACGAAATTCTGAAATATATATGGAAATGCAAACGACCTATGGTAACCAAAATTACTTTGATAAAGAACAAAATAGGACTTTGAGTACTGTGACGAAAACCCTGTTGTACTGATGTAAACATAGACATTCAGAAAAATGGAACCAAACAGAGTCCAGAAATAGTGTTACTTATAGATAACGAAATGATTTTCAACAAAAGTTCCCAAGAAGTCAATAGGCGGAGAATAATTTTTTGGAGCCATGTGTTCTAAAAGAAATGAACGTTGAGATAACTCACAACATATATGAAAATTAACACAAACCTAGTAAAATTTCTAAAATAAAATGTGAGAGGAAATGCTTCTGACTTTGGGTTAGGCAATAATTTTTAGGTCAAAAAAAGTATAAATTATTTATAACTTTGATACATTGAATTTGATCAGGATTTAAAATTTTTTTCCTTTGGAAGGCGCTGTTAAGAAAACAAAAAGCCAAGCCACATTCTAGGGGAAAATATCTTCAAAACATGCAACTGAGGAAGTACTCTGAACCCAGAATATGCAAAGGTTCCCTGGGACTCAGTAAGAGAACAAGAAATACAATAAAAACAGAGGGCAATCCTTTAGACAAACACAAAACCAAAAAAGTTATACGGATGGCATCTAAGCCTGGGAAAATGTGGTCAGCATCTGCTATGGTCTGAATGGTTTTATCTCCCCAAATACGTATGTTGAAACCTACTCACCAATGTGATGGGGTTAGGAAGTGGGTTCTCTCAGAGGGGATAAGGTCAGGGAAAGAAAGTCCTCATGAATGAGATTAGTGCACTTACAAAAGAGGCTCAGACAGCTTCCCTATCCTTTTCTAACATGTGAGGACACAGTCAGAAGGCACAGTCTATGAACCAGGAAACAGGCCCTCGCCAGATACTGAATCTTCCAGTACCTTGATGTTAGACTTGCCAGCATCCAAAACTGTGAGAAATAAATTTCTGTTGTGTATAAGTTGCCCAGTCTGTGGTATTTTGTAGCGGCCCAAATGAACTAAGAAAGCAACATTAGTCTAGTGGAAGCTAAAACCCCAGTAAAAAAACTAGTACACACCCAATGGAATGACTAAAATTAACCGACAATATCATGGATTGGCAAAAATGTAGAGCAACTGGAACTATCACACATTGTTGATGGAAATGCAAAATGGTATATTCATTTTGGAATATAGCACTGCAGTTTCTGTAAAGTTAAACAACACTTACCAAATAATTGAGCAATTCCACTCTTACATATTTGCACAAGAGAAGGAACACATATGTCTTCAAAAGAGATATATCTATGTAAATAACTGTAACTTTATTCATAATAATCCAACTTGTTTCCCAACTGCGGAATGGATAAAAAATCGTGGTATATATCTACACAATTGAATACAAATTAAGCAATTTAAAAGGAAATGGACTACCGATATATGCAACAACATGGAAGAATCTTAATTACGCTGACAATCAAATAATGCATACTATATAATTCTAGTTGTTGCCAGGACCCAGGGAGTGAAGGTAGCAGATAAACTGCAAAAGTACATATGGAAAAATGGGGATGATGGAAATATTCTATATCTTAATTGTAACGCTGGTCATATGAATGTAAACATTTGTCAAATGTCATAGAATTTTATGTTTAAAATTGGTGACTTTTACTGCATATAAGTTATAGCTCAATAAAGCTGACCAAAAACAAAAACCAAGGAAATATACAATATTTATTCCCTCCCAAAATGAGCAGTGTGATTCACAAGTAAATGGAATAGGCTGGGCGCAGTGGCTCATGCCTGTAATCCCAGCACTTTGGGAAGCTGAGGCGGGCCGATCATTTTAGGTCAGGAGTTCGAGACCAGCCTGATCAACATGGTGAAACCCCGTGTTTACCAAAAATACAAATAAATAAATAAATAAATAAATAAATAAATAAATAAATAAAATAGCCAGGTGTGGTGGCTACTAGTTCCAGCTATTAGGGAGGCTGAGGCAGAAGAATTGCTTGAACCCAGGAGGCGGAGGTGGCAGTGAGCCGAGATCACGCGACTGCGCTCCAGCCTGGGTGACAGAGCGAGACTCCGTCTCAAAAAAACAAAACAAAACACAACACAACAAGTAAATGGGATAAATGGATCCTAATACACCATTAGCTTAAGTTCTGTTTCACTACAAATAAATGAAGACCTCCTTCTGGTTACTGTCTTACTACATACTTCATTAGAAATACGTAGAGAGGCAAGCAGACTAGTTTATTTAACTCTGGGCTGGCGGGGGAGGGGCAGTGACTAAACAATATTTAGCATATAGTAAGCACTTCTAATAAATGCTTGTGAATAAAAATTTAAATAGAAATGAACTAAACACTTTTTTTAAAGGCCTAGGTACATTATATGCTCTTACCTAAAGTATTTAGAGAAACACACGCATAAGATATTAGCTGGTTCGCATATTTCATTGTGTAGACCTACCATGCCATTATTTCACGATATAAAGAAATTAAGAAAAAGTTTTGTGGAACATATTTGAATGACCAACTTTTAATTCATGATGTAGATATTTCATCTGTTTATTCATTAAATCTTCATTTTTAACAATAAACAATTTGCAAAGTCTCTGTGTTTTTATCTTTCAGTTATAATTCTAAAAGCATGAACTAAATTTTTCCACATTAACTGCTTTATACACTCTACATAGGAAAAATTCAGACAGAGTTCTTCTGATGTCTGAATAATAAGATATTGACATATTCTTCTGGAGAATTTTATTCTAAATATTAATTACAAAAATGTGTAAAAATTTTGTTTACTGATTATACGTCTAAGAGATTCCAGATTAAACATCTAGACAGAATGACAATTAGCCAGGAATTTTAAAATAGCAATACAAATGTTTTGTAAACTAATACAGCAAAGCTTCTTGACATAAAATGATAAAATAACTAAAAACTTTGAAATTAATTTGCAAAATAAGTAATAAACTTACAGTTTGTCGCCATATGAAATTGAGAAGAAAGTGCCTGAGTAACTGAATTCCAAAATGTGTAGAAAATTTCAGGTTGTCCATCCTGTGAACAACAACAAACAAAAATTTTTAAAACAGAAAAAAACAAAAAACCCTATTTCATTTATTTTAAGAAATCATAATGGGTAACATGTAACCTTGAAAATTTATTTAAAATTTAAATAAAAAATTTAGACATCTAACCATCAAACAATATAATTATTAATTAAATGGAAATACAAAGATGATTCAAATTATGTCTCATGTTCAAGAAGTCAGTCATTATTCTTCTCTGCCATGTAACAGCTGGTATAACCTTGGGCATGTTGCTTAGCCATTCAGGGCCTTTGTTCTTCATATGAAAAATGGTGATAACATTGCAAGATAATTATGAGGATTAAACAAATTAATAAAAGTCTTGGGACAATGCCGCCTGACATATAATAAACTCTCAATGAATGCTATTATTATTACAATTATTACTGTCATCGTCATTTTTTTAAATACAGAGGGCAATTTGTGTGACTATAACAAAATGATAGACAAAAACATGCTTACATCAAGGATAACTAACAAGAAACAATTCACTATTACAAAAGAGAATGGCTGAAGCCTAGATATAGTTTTTAAAAAAACTCACAGGAATTACTACTACTCAGTTTAGCACGATACTTTCATTCAACTTGGAATATATGTTTTAAAAAGCAAGCCCTATAAAGAAAAGGCAAATACTAATTAAAGTATCATTTGTTAAAGAAAGACAAAGAACTTTAACACTGTTAAAATAGAATTACACTCTTAGAAATTTTGCCAAATACTTTAAGATACATCTATATGTGTGGTATACAATATAACACTGCCAATATTCTACTATTTTTGCAGCCAAAAATGCCAACTTCATATAGTTCAAAGTAATATTTTAAGGCTGGGCACAGTGGCTCACGCCTGTAATCCCAGCACTTTGGGAGGCCGAGGTGGGTGGATCACCTGAGGTCAGGAGTTTGAGACCAGCCTGGTCAACATGGTGAAACCCTGTCTCTATGAAAAATACAAAAATTAGCCAGGTATGGTGGCTCATGCCTGTACTCCCAGCTACTAGGGAGACTGAGGCAGGAGAATCGCTTAAATCCAGGAGGCTGAGGTTGCAGTGAGCTGAGATTGCACCACTGCACTTCAGCTTGGGCAATAGAGCAAGACTCGGTCTCAAAAACAAAAACAAAAACAAAGAGTATAAATAAAATAAAATATGTCTAATGTTAAAATATTGCTATAGTCCCAAAAATAAAATTATAATTTTGGACAAGTGAACAAAATAACCAGTGAAAAATACTGATTTGTGACTTTTATTCCTGTGTACACATTCATTTTATTAATTGTTCCTTTTTAAAATGAGTCTTATGATTGTGAATTTACTCAAGAACTGTTTATCATAAACAAGGCAAATCAAATCACCATTGATTTCTTATGCAACGATCAGAAAACACATTCAGATTCCTAAGATTTTATGTATTATGTCTTGCGTATCTTAAAGTAGATGCTTTTCATCATGTTAAAGAAGTATAATATACTACATTAACAGAATGAAGGACTAAAACCACATGGTCGTCTCAATTAATGCAGAAAAAGCATTCAACAAAATTTAACACCATCTGATGATAAAAATACTTAACAAACTAGGACTGGAAGGAAATTACATCAACATAATTTGACCACATAAGAAAAATCTACAGCTAACATCCTACTCCATGGTGCAAAACAGAAAGCTTTCCCTCTAAGATCAGGAACAAGGCCAGGATACCCACTCTTACCACTTCTATACAACATAGTACTAGGAGTCCTGCCAGAAGGACCAAGCAAGAAAAAGAAATAAAAAGCATCCAAATTGGAATGGAAGAAGTAAAATTATATCTGTTTTTAGATGATATGATCTTGTATGTAGATAATCCTAGACTCCTCAAAAAGGCCTGTTAAAATAATAACTGAATTCAGCCAAGTTGTAGGCTACAAAATCAACACATAAAAATTAGTGTATTTCTACAAACTAACAATGAAGTATCCAGAAAAAAATGAAGAAAACTACCTTATTTTTATAAGAGTATCCAAAAGAATACTTAGGAATAAACTTATTCAAGAAGGTAAAAAACTTGTATACTGAAAACCACACAATATTGTTGAAAGAAATTAAAGAAGACACAAGTAAATGGAAAGCATCCTGTGTTATGGATTGCAAGACCTAATATTGTTAAAATGTCCATACTCCCCAAATGATCTGCAGATTCTCAAAATCTCAATGGCATTTTTGCAGAAATAAAAAAAAAATACTAAAATTTATATAGAATCTCCAGGGATCCCAAATATCCAAATATCTTTCTTGAGGAAAAACAAACAAACAAAGCCAGAGGCCTCAGACTTCCTGACTTCCAAGACATATTACAGAGCCAGGTGCAGTGGAACATACCTGTAGTCTCAGCTACTTGGAGGATGAGATGGGAGAACTGCTTGCACCTGGGCATTTGCAGCCAGCCTGGGCAACAAAGGCAGATCTTATCTCTAAAAACCAAAATAAAATCCATCCAAATAGAAAAAAAAAACCCATATTACCAAGCTTCAGTAATCAAAACAGTATGGTACCAGCATACAGACAGACATATGGATCAATGGAGTAGAAAGACAAAAAAATAAAATAAAATAAACCATCAAGTATACGGTCATACAATCTTCAACAAGGGTGCCAAGGCTACACAATAGGAAAAGGACAGTCTCTTCAATAAATGCTGCTGGGAAAACTGGATACACACATGCAAAAGAATAAACTTGAACCTTTACCTGATGCCATATATAAAAACTAACTGAAAATGGATTAAGTACCTAAATCTAAGACCTGAAATTATAACTCCTAGAAAAAAACATAGAAGGAAAGCTCTATGACACTGGATTTGGCAATACTTCTTGTATAGGATACCATAAACACAGGTAAAATAGACAAAGTGGAAAAAGCAGAAATAGACAAACTGGACTACACGTAACTTGAAAATTTCTGTATAGCAAAGGAAACAACCAATAGAGTAAAAAGGCAACCTACAGAATGGGGGAAAACATTTGCTAACCATATATCTAATAAGGAGTTAATATTCAGAATATATAAATGGCTCTGACAATTCAACAATAAAAAAACAAGTATCATGATTAAAAAAGAGGCAAAGGACTTGAGTAGACACTTCTCCAAAGCAAATAAATAAATGGCAGGCCAACAAGCACATGAAAAGATGCTCAGTATCACTAATCATCATGGCAATGCATATCAAAACCATACTGAGATGTCATCTCACATCCATTAGGATGGCTACTATAAAAAACTGGTAAATAAAAAGTGTCAGCGAGGATGTGGAGAAACTGGAAACGTTGTACACCGTTGGTAGAAATGTAAAATAGTGTAGCCACTATGGAAAACATTAGGGAGGTTACTCAAAATTATCGTATGATCCAGCAATTCCACTTCTGGGTATTTAAGTAAAAGAGCTGAAAGCAGGATCTTGAAGATTTATTTGAATACTCATGTTCACTGCAGCATTACTCGTAAGAGCCAAGAGGTGGTAACAACCCAAATGTCTATTAAAGAATGAATGGATAAAGAAAATGTAGTATATTCAATCAGGCATTTCTGAATGATGGGAATGTGCCTGAGAAATGCCTCATTAGGCAATTCTGTCATTGTGCAAAAATCACAGAATGTACTTATACAAACATAGATGGGATAACCTACTACACACATAGGTGTTATGTGATAGCCTATCACTCCTGGGCTACAAATTTGTACATGTTATTGTAATGAATACTGTAGGTAATTGTAACACAATAGTACATTTGTGTATCTAAACATCAAAAAGACAGAGCAAATATACGGTATTACAGTCTTATGAGGCCACAGTTGTATGTGCAGCCTGTCATTGACTGAAATGTCATTATGTGGTGCATGACTGTACTTACAGTAGAACACCATTCAGCCTTAAAAAAAGGAAATCCTATCATATGCTACAACATGAATGAACCTTGAAGATGTTACACTAAGTGAAACAAGCCAGTCACAAAAAGATAAATACTGCAAGATTCTACTTATACGAAGCATCTAAAATGGTCAAACTCTTAGAAGCAGAAAGAATAATGGTAATTGCCAAGAGACTGGGGACAGGGGAAATGGATTAGTTACATCCCTTATTTTAAAAAGTTACTCTAACACATATTTTAGTACAATTATCATAGCCTGAGATTCTTTCCCCCATAAAACTCTTAAGAAATTTCACTAGTTAAAACAATAATAAAAACATTTTTAAGGAAACTTTTTGGAAACAGAAAAAAAAATTTATTTTATTTTTATTATTTTATTATGTTTCTATTATTATTTTTTTTTATGATGGAGTCTCGCTCTGTCGCCCAGGCTGGAATGCAGTGGTATGATCTTGGTTCACTGCAACCTCCATCTCCCAGGCTCAAGCGATTCTCCTGCCTCAGCCTCCTGATTATCTGGGACTACAGGCATGTGCCACCACTGAAACGCCAGCTTTTTTTAGGTCTGAGCCTGCAGTCCTTTAGACTGGGACTACACCATTGGCTTTCCTGGCTTTCCAGCTTGCCGACTACAGAGCTACAGATCAATAGACTTGTCTCCATAATCCCATTGGCCAATTCCTTATTTTCTATATACAAATATATAACATTTCCTGTTGGTTTTTTTCTCTGAAGAACCCTGATACCCTAATACAGTTGTGGAATAAATCAATCAATCCCAAGGACTTGTCTAAATTAAGAGCTAGAGGCAGCTACTAAAGATATGTACTAAGAAGGACACGTAGCTGTTGGAACAAGAAAGGATGTGAAAAGTCCTGGGGAGAGATAAAGAGAGATAAAGTAGATTCAGAGGGAATGGGAAAGTATACAGGATAATAATAAAAAAGTGGATTTGGGGCTACGATAGTATGTTAAAGCAATGATTTTCTATATCTGTATACCCATCTGTTTATACAGATACGTATATGCTGTGTGTGTATGATGTATCCCTATATATAC